TATAATAATAATGGCCATCAATCTATTGGTGTGTTTCTACCTTTAAGGGTAGGGCAGGCTCACGAAAAGAGCCTTGCCATTGGGCCCTACTTGGGACCCTCACAAGTGGGCCTCTGTGAAGGCTTAGCATCCTGACAAATTGGCCCTATCCGGCTTGGCACCCTCACAAGTGAGCCCTATCTGTCTTGGGACCTTCACAGATGGGCCCACTACTGGACCTGAGCACTAAACCCTATCTCCAGAGTCTTCTGAGGATCCCAAGCCAGTCTTATTGATGTGGCATGACAGCAAGCAGGTGAGCCGTGTTGCTTCTATCCCTCTCTTTTTCTCCCTCGCACAACTTTCTCCCTCGTACACCTTCTCAATGTGGACCAGTGGGAGGAAAGATGCTTTGAGCCTTTAACCCAATGATTGGAAGACGGGAAATGGTAGATTTTTTACTTGGTTGTGGATGTGTGCTTGTTTATGTGATGGAATCACAGCCGTGCAGAGACATGCAACCAGTTGACCTATCAAATCCACTCTCATCAACCAATCAATCAATCAATCAATCAATCAATCAATCAAGGAGGCAGGCATGCAGCACGGAGGCAAAGCAAAGGGCATGGTTGATGTCCCTGTGGATGATACCTGCAATTAGAGATGCATGCAGGAGGCAGTTTAAAGCAGGGCAGTTTTAAACCTGCAAGGCGTTTCGACTCATGGCAGCAGCTGCAAGTTCACCGCATGTTCACCAAGCGTGCAGCTCATACTGCCACACTCGTTGGAGACCGAATCTTTGTGATGGGTGGTCAGACCCGTGATGCCTGTCTCAATGATTTGTGGGTTTTTGACACGAGGACGGAGGAATGGGAGATGCATAATTTGCCTGGAGCATTCTCTCCTCGGGCGTATCATACTGCAACCTTGCTTGATGGCAGGTTCATCTGGGTGATTGGAGGAAGCACGCGTGAATGTCTTGTGGATGATGTGTTTGTTCTCGACACCGATAGGATGAAGGTGAGCATGGGTTTCACTATGTTTGCTCCTCTGGGGTTTAGAGAGAACTTCTGAGCAGTTTTTTTTTTTTTTTTTTTTTTTTTTAATCTGCCCAGGTCTCCTTCTTTCACTCGTAATTATTTGCAGCAGTACTTTCCACTGCTTTATAACCATTGAAACTCTGACCAAATGGCCGCTGACTGGCCAAACCCCACTGAGGAGTTCAGGGTTTAGTATCTGTGGTTTAGGGTTTAGGGTTTAGGATCTGTGGTTTAGGGTTTTGGGTTTAGGGTCTGTGGTTTAGGGTTGAGGATTTAGGGTTTAGGGTCTGTGGTTTAGGGTTTAGGATTCGTGCTTTAGGGTTTAGGGTTTAGGGTTTACGGTATAGGATCTGTGGTTCAAGGTTTAGGGTTTAGGGTTTAGGATCTGTGGTTTCTGTGGTTTAGGTCTTAGGGTTTAGGATCTGTGGTTTAGGATCTGTGGTTTAGGGTTTTGGGTTTAGGGTCTGTGGATTAGGGTTTAGGGTTTAGGGTCTGTGGTTTAGGGTTTAAGGTCTGTGGTTTAAGGTTTAGGGTTTAGGATCCGTGCTTTAGGGTTTAGGGCTTAGGGTTTACGGTTTAGGATCTGTGGTTTAAGGTTTAGGGTTTAGGATCTCTGGTTTACGGTTTAGGGTTTAGGATCTCTGGTTTACGGTTTAGTGTTGAGTGCTTATGTTTAGTGCCGTCTTATGTGAACCTACCAGCATGATGCCTGGTAACCGTTCTTATGTGAACCTGCCAGCATGATGGCCCGCATCCTGACTCCTTGAACTCCAGGTCGATCCAAAGATGCATGATGGACACTAACTGATCTTAACAGCTGATTCTTTTCTTTTTCTTTTTCTTTTTCTGAAGTGTTAACAGCTGACTTGCCTCCTGCTGTAGTGTGGGAGGTCTGCGAGATGGAATCCCAATGATCTGCAATTCTGAAATCCCATTGCACTGCTGATGTAGTTGAGGAGCGTTCGAAGGGTGAAGAGGGGGAGGCGAAAAGGATGGGGTATTCATGTATCCGTTGAACTATTTGGAAAGAACTAAAATAGGAAACAGGGAAATGTATGGGTGGTGCTTCTCGTCTGGGCATGATGATAACGATGATGATTATGATGATGAAGATGATGATGTATGTGATGGCGATCATGATGATAGCAACAATTGTTATGATGATGTTACATGTAAAGGCCATGGGGATTATTCTGGACAGGGAAGCAGAAGTACGAGGTGAAGATGAAGAAGAACAAGAAGGAGAAGAACAAAAAGAACAAGAAGGAGAAGAAGAAGAAGAAGAAGAAGAAGAAGAAGAAGAAGAAGAAGGCGATGACTACAACGGCAGAGAAGGAGAAGACGACGAAGAAGAAGAGGCAGGAGGAGGAGGAGGAGAAGAAGAAGAAGAAGAAGAAGAAGAAGAAGAAGAAGAAGAAGAAGAAGAAGAAAGAAGAAAAAAGAAGACGAAGAAGGTGCACCACATGGGTCGGTATCCAACCCACGCAGGTCAGACAGGAGATGTGGCCTCAGAGTATGGGTTCAGAAAATGGCTCAATGGCCATGCAGGCCTTTAGTGTCCGAGTTCGGGGTCCCAAGAGTCAAAATGCTGAGGTGTACCCACTTTTAATAAAACAAGCCCACTGTTGGAAGGTGCTGGCCCAAGAGAGTTCAGCCCGAGCAACTCAGCTTTGAGGCTTATCATGTGCCGGGAAGCCTAAGGGTCTAAGGGGACTTTGGGCAATGAAAAATTGCAGCCATCCAAAGTTCTGACCATTTTGCATCCTTACTCATGATTGTAATTCTCATCAGTCAAAACCAATTAGACTTCACTGTGTGGTCCCCTTGTACACCAGCATAATCCAATGCGGTTGTCATCGGCAGTGGCAGCTCAAGCAATCCTCAGCCCTCCACAAAAATAGCAGCCCTTCAGGTTGGCTATTTCAGGGTTTCTGGTGTTGCGAACATCATTCTAGTTTCATGGCTCAATGCTTAGGGGTCTTAGGGTTCTAGGGTTTAGGTTTCAGGTTTAAAGTGTTAGGGTTTTGGGGCTCAGCATTTTATCAAATGAAAATAACATATATAATATGTATACATATACATATAGAGTCGGTGAAACTCCGATGAAACAGTTTGTCACAGCCCCTCGTTTGTTGTCCTCTTCTCCCTCTGTGCCTACGGTTTACCGGGAAGCTCTGTTCGACTATATATATATGCACATATATAGCCTTCTGATGAGTCGGTGAAATTCCGACGAAACAGTTTGCCACAGCCCCTCGTTTGTTGTCCTCTTCTCCCTCTCTGCCTACGGTTTACCAGGCAGCTCTGTTTGACTATATATATATATACCGGGCAGTTCTGTTTGACGATATGTATATTATTAAATAGTTATTTACATATTATGTAACATGCATAGGGTTTCAGGTCTTAGCGTTAGGGTTTTAGTGTTTGGGTCTTGGGTTTTAGGTTCTCGGGTTTGGGGGTTAGGATTTAGGGCTCAGGGTTTTGTTCTTAGGGTATTAGGGCTTAGAATGAGCGAGTGAACAGTGATGGTTCTTTTTTGTGCTGGTGACTGGAGTTTGGATGTCAACAACCCATAGTTGCCCATACATTGTCTGGCTGCACTTCAACGTGGGGTGGCGGAAATTTGCCTGGACCTCTGCCTTGACCTTGTGGCTTCTGATCATGGCCAGAGGACAGCTTTGACTTTCTACCACCCGGAAATGTGCAGGCCAGAGTTTTTTTTGGCTTTGAAAGTTGAATGCCCTAGCTAACTGAGCTACAGACCATTTCGGGGGGGGTTCTAACCCTCGGATCTACCATTGACCGTTGACCGTTGACCGTTGACCGTTGACCTCTGTACTCTTGTAGACATCCTCTAGCGGTTACTTTTTTCTATCTTCTGAACTTCTTAGAGCCCACCCATCCAAGTGTACTTTGAGTGTGGACTGCCTCTGTATCATTCTCTGAGTCTCTGTTTTGATTGAAATGTCAAGGCAATCCGTTCGGCAAGTTTAGGTCCGTAGGTTTCAGTAAGAGATCCTGAAAGGATTTTTCCTTCCTTTGCCTGCCAGCGGGATTCGATTCCGGGACCTGTTGTTGTTCGTGTTGCTGTCTGTTGTTCTGTGTTGTATGCCTGAGTGTTGTTGCCGAAGTTTGAACCCCTGAACCTGGTCCTGGTGTTGACTTACCTGTGCCCTTACCTGTTGACATACCGGAATCGAAGTTTCAATCTGAATTTTCGAGTGTGCAACTTGTGTGTTTGCCCTGTGTGTGTGGTATCTGGTGACGGTGATTCTGTAATTGTTTTGAGAATTGCGTGGCGATTGCGCTGAGGAAGACAAACTTGATTTTCATGCGTTGGGTGCGACTTCCATATCTTCGTGCACTTGTGGACATGAATGATGCGTGAGCGAAAGTCTCCGTGCAATCTGTTGAAACTTAGCATCTTCTTTTGTGTCTCACCCAACCAATCAACCGACCCTCAGCTATTTGTGTAGTATAATCAGTGTTTTGAGGGGCAGGACAGTACATACATCTGCTCTGTGGCGTGCGGCTGGCCCTTCGAACCCGCTGACTGGTGACCGTTCCCCCCTCTTTTGGAAAGCATTCTGGGGCGTTGCCAATTGGCTCACCCCGATGTGCAATTTCCTTTACAGATGGACATAACGATACGTCGCCTTAATTATTATTATTATTATTATTATTATTATTATTGTTATTATTATACGTTTGAGTTGAAACGGATGGTGATTTTAGTATCTCTTTATTCCGGAGGGCCTCTGTTCATGCTGTGCCTGAGCACATGACACCGGTTTGAATAGTGTTGAAGTCGTGCTCCTCTGAATTCCCTGCTCACCTGCAACCCCCCCCCCCCCCCCCCCCCCCCCCCCCCCCCCCCCCCCCCCCCCCCCCCCCCCTCCTTTCCCCCCCCCCCCTCTCCTTCCAGTGTGAACTTCTATGCCCAGTAATGAAGAAACCTAGTAAGTGGGACTTTGTCTTGAATATCATGGTAAGACTTTTCCCCAAATATCGTTATCATATCCATGAGATTTCTGTGTCCATTTAAGAGTACATCACCTACTGAAATTTGTCACAGGGTGTCCAGGAACTTGTGTAGTTGTCGTATTTTTAAACGAAGAAAGAAACATATCTAGACTGAAGTTTTCCATATTTTTTATGTCTCTTTCCCCTTTGGGAAGTTGAGGTCAGCCATTGACAGCATTTTCCCCCTTCGCCCTCCCTCCCTTCCTCCCTCTCCCCCCCTCTACCTACGCACCTACGTCCGTTGCTCCCTCTTATATCTGTCACTCCCTTCTACCCCTCAGCAATCCCCAACTTTCCCCACCTTTCTACTCCTACTTCCCCTTCCTTTTCTCCACCCTCCACCCCAGATCCCTTGCCTTCCCACTTGCCTTCCCTTCCCTCATTCCTGTGTCCTCGTACCTTTGTTTGTCCCTATGTTTCCTCCTCTTCTCAGCCACTACATCCTTCTCCCTTTCTTACTTCCTCTATCTTCATATTCTCCACCCTACATCCCCTGGCGTCCCTCATCCATGGATTCTTTTACCTTCCTTTCTGTCTACATCCTGTCCCCTTCCTCTCCCCATGAACCGCTCCATGTAGTTCCTTCAATCCCTTCAATCCCTTCACCTCTCTCCCACCCTCACTAGTTCTCCCTTACTCTCCCAGATATCCCGTCCATTCCCTCCCCTCTACCAGTGTCCTCCCCTCCCTGCCCTCGACACCCTCGACACCCTCGACACCCTCGACACCCTCGACACCCTCCTACTTCCTACCACCTTTCCCCTTTTGCTCCTACACTGTGTCCGATGTCCTTCCTCTCCTTCCCTGCACTCGTACACCCTTCACACCCCTCACCATCTGTTCCGCCCCTCGTTTCCCTCCTACATCCCCCCATCTTCCCTTCCATCCATCTTACACCCCCCTACACTTCCCTTCGCCTTGCATTTTCTCCCATCCCTTTCCCCCATCCCTACCTCTGCCTTCCTTCCTTCCTTCCTTCCTTCCTTCCTTCCTTCCTCTCGGCCTCCTTCCCTTTCTCACTCTCTGTCTTCCTACATTCACTCCTTCCGTCATCCCTGCCTCTTATCATTACCTCTGCCTTGCTTCCTCCCTGCCTCTTTGTCTCCTTACCTTTGTGCCTCCCTGCCTGCCTACATGCCTTCTGGCCTTCATTTCGTGGTTTGCCTGCTTGTTGCACAGTGGAGGTGCTACAGTGCAAAAGACTTTTCTGCAGGGTACGGGCTTCTGAGGAGATGTGCTCATGGAGCTGTTGCACACCCACTTCAACCGCATGCCATTTTCATTTATGGCGGACACAATGGTTGCCACGGTGGGTGGATGGGAGATTCCGTTATTCTGCATACAGGTAACACACACAGAGTACCTGCAATCATCTGCACAGTTGCATTTCTGCCTTTTTTCCCTTCTGAGAAATGCTGTCTGGTCTGGTTTGCTGAGATTTACGAATCTGAATCTGTTTCCTGTGTTGGGTGTGTGTGTCCGGGAGTCTTATCTGATGCCTGCTGAGTCTCACTCTGCGTCCGCCGTTAACTAACACTTGCTTGTGGTGTGTCACAGGAGGGATATGGCAGTAAAGAGGTAGGGGCAGGACTGAAATTGGATGCTAGACAGACTTAGAGGAAATTCTAGGACGCACAGGGACAGAAGTAGAATTTGATAGGGACCTGCTAGGGATTTTCCTTTAACTCGGAGAGGTCCTAGAGTGTCACGATGGTTCAGGTGCCTGATGTAGACAGATGTCAGGTTAAAATTGGGCCTTGCAGGTGAATTAAAAAAAAATAAAAAAATAAAAATGCAGGTGAATTGTACAGACTGTGATGATGTTCTTGCCAAAAGGCAAAAACACTTGGTAGGCCTAGTGTACCGGGAGGAGGCTAGAATACCCGGGTGGAAGGGACTGAAGTACCTGAGTGGAGGGACTGCTGGAGGCTGGGGAGACAAGAACATATCATTTGGTCCAATGAGTGGCCCGGGCATTCACCGGGCATTTTTCATCCTGCTCTCTGCCCTGAGGGAGAGTGATGTGGAGCTCTGGGTTGAACGAGGAGCTGGGGTGAGGAAGAATACATCCATGGCTATGGAGGATTACCAGTAGGTGAGAGATGGCCTAGGCGGTAAAGGTCCAGAGAGAAGGATCTCAACGTAGGCTATGGAGGTAGGTGGAAGAGAAGAGTAGAGGTAGAAAAGGAGGAAGAAGGAGAGAACCGGCAAGAGAGATTTTTTATCAAGCTTATGGACCTCTTGGCTCATATCTCTTTCATTCTGAGGGCATGGACGAACGCCTCCCAGCTGAAAGCTGGAGAAGGTTGGGGTGGAGCTTGGGCTGGCCGTGGCAGACCAATGCGCGAGAAAAATCAGTGGATGAGGACGGAAGCAATCTGGGAAAACAGAGGAAGGTCGGCGGGATTGCTTCAACAGAGTAGAGCGGAGATCGGCTAGGGAAATCCTTGAAGGGGTAATCAGATTGAGGTGCGATGGGAGATTTGTCGCCTCGATTTGTACTTGTAACACTCAGTCTTTGGATGCACTTGGCCGCCTTATATGAATCAACGGGTAATCAGATTGAGGTGCGATGGGAGATTTGTTGCGCCTCGATTTGCA